ACAATAAAATAATAACACATGCTTGCTCCTTTCCCACAAATATTTTCTCATGGTGTCTGTAACCATCTTGGCTTGTATTTCTAAATTTTACGTATCTACATCCAAGGTCTGGAACTTACTGCTCTGGAACTTTTTCTTGGCTGCCCTCTTGAACTGCATTGTAATGTTCTTGGGAACCAACATGTGCCATGTGTACAGGTAAAACAGTACAGGGGAAATATAAACAGCATCAATGCCTAAGGCAGCAGACTCTTTCAGTTCAGCTGTACTAAGAATTTTGCTTTGTTAAGTACAGTTTTTTTGTTCCTCACTTGAGTCTCCTGTTGCATCCTTTTAGAAAGTTTGGAGCAAACATTACATGGTGTCAGAAGGAAAACAGTAAAAAATAAAGGCCACTAAAGCCTGCAAGAAAGAGAGTTTCGAAGGAAATGCAGTAGAGAACTGAAGAAGGTGAAAATGGGAGTTGAACTGTACTACAGTGGTACCTCGGCTCACGAATGCCTTGGTTTACCAATCAGGTCACGAACAAAAAATTCTGAAAGATTTTGACTTGGGTCACGAACACAACTTTGGGTGGCAACCAAGATCGCAGCCATCTCCCCCTCCCCAAAGTGGGGAGATGGCCACGATTCTAGTTGCTTTCTTGCAGGGAAGGCATGCGTGATCAGAGGTGCACTGCTGCAGGAAAAGCGGAATCTCGGCCATCTCCCCCGCGGCTCTGCTTTGCTGCTCCCGTCTTTCCTGCAGCAGCGCGCCTCTGATCAGGCACGCCTTCCCTGCATGAACAGAACTGCAGTCGCAGACCTCTCCCCACCCCCAGCGCACTGTTTGTGGCCATCTGTCCCTCCCCCAGTGCGCCCGTGATCACGCCCATCTCTCCCCCCCACCCCCAGTGCACCGGGATGACGGGCGCCTGCAGGGATGGCAGACATGATCTCAGTCATGCTGGGGGGTGGGGAGATGGCCACGCGTGTGTTTGGGGTGCGGGGGGAGATGGCTGCGATCTTGTTGTTGTCACTTTGCTTCACATTTTTCTGATTTAAAAAATGGTTGCAGAACGGATTAACCTTATTTACATTGAACCTTATTGGGAAATTTAACTTGGCTCAGGACCAATTTGGGTCACGACTAGAGTCCTGGAACAGATTAAGTTCATGAGCCAAGGTACCACTGTACTTTGTAAATGAGGTCACTGAGAGACTTTAGTCTGCAATATTTCTTCTTGTAGTACATGACAGAGCAACTGCATCCTTTCCAGTTTGATGTTTGTGTGTGTGTATGGAAAATTAATAATTTGAAGTATATTATGCACCATGAAGGAAATTTGCTGGTAAAAATCATGTACACTCTGAACAGGGGACACAAAGGCAAGTAAGGGGTACAAGGCCCACCCCCTGTTGTCCCCATGTGTGCCAGCTCTCAGTGTGTGCCATGTCTGTGTGCACCATAGTCATGCTTGTGGACCCTGTTCAGACCCTTCACAGTGCTGTGAAGAAATGCCATCTAAATAACTATTGTTGTTCTGCCATGTTTACTTTTCATGACCTCTCAGAGTCTATATTGTATTTGAGAGGACCTGCCGCCTTGCTTTGCTACCCTCCAAAGCTTGTGTAGTGATATTCTGAAATGGGAGACAGAAACAATTGCTTTGAATATGGATCAATAGAACAAAAGATAGACAAATAGATGGGGCCTGGATCAAATGAATTCAATTTTAATTGGCTAGGGATTCTAGCTAGATGACAAAGAGCAGCTGGGAAAGGCCAGTTGGCAGTTGAGAAATTGACAATTAGGATTTGGTCTGTCTGTAGCAAGATAAAAGTCTCCTGATTGGTGGGTGAACTAAGAAAAGGGGAGGAGGAAGTGGATAGCTAAGGTCCAAACCCTAGGTTATTCATTCACTGTGGGATAGCCAAATGTGGCTGATGAAGATTAAGAAAAGGGAGCAGGTAGCTTTGTTATGCCAGGTGAATGCCCTAAGACAGTGATGGCAAGCCTTTTAGAAACGAAGTGCCCAAACTGCAACTCAGAATCCACTTATTTATCGCAAAGTGCCAACACTGCGATAAAACCTGAATTTGCTGACCACCAACACAAGGAGGCAACATTCCACTGACCACCAGCTTTTGGCCGGCCCTGAAAAAGGCATCTGAGTATATTTCCTCCTCCTGCTAAAATCACTATGGGTTGTGCAGACTCGAACCGGCAACCTTTCAATCAATCAGCCCAGCAGTTTAAACCACTGCGCCACCTGTGTCCCACTAAAATCACAGTCCATGCAAATCCCTGGCAGCTCACTGATGGGCCATGCGAAAGTTCGGCAAGTCATGGCTAATGCGTGGCATCATTGCCTGTTGCCCTTAATCTTTCTGAATATGCGCGTGGTTGCTGGGGCAATCACATGCCCCTTGGGCACGCGTGCCATAGGTTCGCCATCACTGCCCTAAGATGTTGTCAGATAAGGATATACTGTACAAGCAAACATTAAAGGTCAGATAAATGCTCAGAAATACAACAGGAAGAGTTTTGGGAAGCAGAGAAAGGTCTACAAGCTTCACCTGGATGTGACTGTACTTGACTGGGGTGGATATTTAGGAAATTTGGCCTGAGGTAAGAGCTTGTAAGAGGCTTGTATTAACAATTGCAATGCTTGTATTAGCAAGTGTGTCTCCTGAGTCCTTAAGAAGTGTCAGCAAACATTCTTGTGAACACACCAAGTAAATATTAATATTTCCTTTTGCACAGTATAGCCCTTTAATATGCCATCAGGCTCACTGTTTTGTGAATGCCAAATCTAGAGAATTGAGTTCTGTACCATTGCAGAAAGACTTGCCTGTTGCTTATGGTTTCAGAGCGCTGAAAACTATTCCACAGCACCTCAGCTTAAAGAGCAAAAGAAGTTCAAACGTCCCTCCATCTCTAGATTCACCAAGTGGCTGTGGACAAGTTACTGCATCTCAGCCTTAATTTCCTAGCTATGAAATGTGAATAATCGTATTCAGTGAATGACTGTGAGAATAAATTCAATACATAATTGTTACTGCTTTTTTCAAATACACAGAGAGGGTGAGCTATAATTCTAAACAAGTTAAATATATTCTGCTCTAAGGGACCAGGAGACAGACCTTAATGCATCGCACTTACTTTATGATTCAGGCAACAATAATGATTAGTTTTCTTGAAACTGGTCATAATTCTGGATGTATGTCGTTTAGAAAGCCGTTAATCCTTATTCATTGTTAAAACCACACAGATTTATGTTAATTAGTTTTATTGTTGCAATTTATTTTGCTTGAAATATTCCTGAGAATCAGTAAAACTGCCTTTAAATATGGTACTTGACTTAGTTTATCCTTAACTGTAATGTCATCTTCAAGAATTGAAGGGGGGCTCTAAATATCAGGAGACCATAAATTATATACAGGAACACATTCATAGATTCAGCAAGACACCTATAAATACAAAATATTACAGACTTTATCATGTATCTACTCTTGAAAAATCTCATAATTGCTCTAAATTATTCAAAGCAAATTTGAGCTGACATATTTGGAAGACTTAGCACAATGTTTTGCCAAAATGATGAAGCTGTTTCATAAAAATATCCAGTTTCTAGTATGGCATAATTGCACATCACTTTTGCTAAGTATATATATATCTATTGAAAACTAATGTGAAGCTCAACCACACCATTTAAGACTAAATGGGAACTTGCATTATTTTTTGGTTAATGTTTATGTTATCGTAGCATATCAAAATACATGCCATCACGCAAAGTTGTCTTGTCTTAGCAGCCTATCCTCCTGGGTGCAGCAGAGGAAGAGGTGAACCAACGAGACTTCTCGTAACAAAGAGGCAGAAACCTTTGTTATAGAACTGGCAGTTCTGTTCTCTAAAGCATTTTCTATGTATCTTCTTATATGCCTTTTTTGCATATAAAATCTATGGATAAGATATGAGAAGCTACATGCATTACAGAGAAAACCCTAAATATAGATATAATACTTCAAAATAATGGAATGAGAACTGTGAGATTTGTGTAGCTGACAGTGTAAAGAAAAGGAGGGACTGGAAACATATTTGCTTTTATTGTTTTCCTGCCATAACTGGCTCCTGTCAGCAGGGCATGATAGACACAGGGCCGTGCATTGAGCGGCAACCCATTAGAATGGCGGTCCAGCATCTGGCATATATTTAAGATACATTTTAAAAATTCAATAGCAGTTGCTGGCATGGTGTGCTCTGAAAGGGCATTGCCATGAAGAATTGGCCAAGGCAAATAGTGATCTAGTGCCCATGGAACTAGGAATGTTGTAAGACGTCAGCGGAGTCATGTGTCAAGTAGACAGTCATGCCAAATAAAGACTGTCGGTGTCTCAGAGACCTAAGCTGAATGTCACTGTCTCTTCAGTGCCTGTACAATGCCGACTGACCTAGTAGTAGTTTCAGGATGCCTGACCAGATCATAAAAGCCCCTCATCCACTACACTAGAGTCCCGATCAGTTTTAGCAGATGTGCCTACTCTAGAGAGGAGAAGGAGCAGCAACTGCATCTAGAAACGGAAGTCGTTTCTGGTTTGGCCCTGTGGAGATGTGTTTGATTTGTGAAAGCTTTCCTTCCTATATGAACTCCTCTACATTGGATGGCCCCCAATCATGAATCAGAGAGAGATCTTTTCCTGGTCTACACCTTGGCAAATCTCACTGGGGGTAAGAATAGTAAACTCTTGCCAGAAGTAACAAAAATGACCTACCAAGACATGTTATATCCCCTTCTGGCTCCCCATCTTTCTGCCAGAAAGTCTGAAGGAGTGTCCCAAGTTCTCTACCTGGAAGGACTGCCTCCCCTACCCACATGTGCACAAGACTTGGTTTTGTATGTTTAATTCACTGTTGTTTGCTGTAAGTTTAATGTTTGCTATCATTAATATAGGCTATGTTCACTGTACTATTTCATGGTTTTGAAGCAGTATAACCAACCATGTTTTTGCCTCTTTTAGGACTCCCAGCATGTTTCTACAGGGCACAGCAATCAAAGTAAGAACAACTTTCATTTTGCAGTTACATTTGATGGGAATGCTGAGTTCATGTATACACAATAAAATAAATGAGGAAAATATGAAAATACAACTACTTTAATGTATTTTGAATGCGGATGTAGTATTGGAAGTAATCTTGAGTCTTGCAGATACAGTACATTTTGTTTGCCATGTCTTGCTTTGAGAAGAATATGTGAGGTCTTTTGTTTTTGTAAAGATGAAGGGCTTTCTTCCCAAGGCATTTATTGTGTGCTTGTAATTTCCTTCTCACAGTTGTTTCCATGTTCTTTAGATGACGATATGACTCTCCAGTTTCATTTCTATGTCCAAGCCGCTGGTAGAGCAGGGAGACTGCCTCTTTCAATTTTGAAAGTGAAAGCAAGTTCTGCATTTATGTTGTTCCACTATGCTAACAAGCCCCCTAGAGGTTGTGTAGCAGTAAAGCAGGAGAGGAAATGGTATTTGAGTAGTGATCAGTTCTCAATTCTGCAATGTAAACCAAAGTAATTACTGTGGATCAACAGATAATTAAAACTCACAGATGACCCAATTGCTCTAAAAATTACATAACAACAGCACAATGTAAATAACTTACTTTATGAATACATGCAATAACTCAGTCTTCGAATCGACATGACAATTATAATCCAATGATAAATTGTTGGGGTTTTGTGCCATTTATTATATATACTAAATAGTAAATAATATTAAATAGTAAAAAAAAGGAAATTGCAGAAAGGTAGGTCATTTCACGTAAAAGTGGTGCTGTCCACACTGATCTGGGATATCAGGGAATTACTTTCCACCACACGAAGGAACTCAGTTCAGCAGTGAAGGATTCATGTGCAAAAATTAGTCATGTAAGTTAAACATAGAGCAAAAAAAGACAGCTGGAATTGTTTTAGTATATATGCTTATGGTAAGTGAGTATGTGAAATAAAAACAGACATAGTCTTTTTCTTGAAAGTTCTTTTTCACACTCAAAATATATGACTCGAATCAGTGCAGCAAAAAAGAATGTCTATCAATACATAGTCTGCATTCTAACAATACTCAACATAGTTTAGCACTACAGGAATGAGTCTGGGTGACTCCTGAGCTTGGATGCTTCCCTTACCTTTCTTACAAACCATAGTTGCTATTCTGCCAGAACTTTGAACTGTGGTTACTATTAACAGTGGTCTATTCGAATAAATCAAGATCATCAATTAGCCTCTGAAGTTGGCTTGTTCAAACAAACAGCAGTTAATGCTGAGTCCATACATAACAAACCTTCATTAATACATCAATATTTTCTATCTCTTCTTGACCTCATCTGAAGCGGAGAGGGGACTACAAAGCCCTGGTTTCACCCAGGCTTGAACTGCACAAGTCCAAGTTTCATTATTCCTGTAGCTAATGATTTAGCATCATATCCAAACACCTACCATAATATGCAGCCCATAATGCAAAGCTTGTTTATAGGTCCGGCAGATTCAAGCAATAGGCTGCAGATAGTTATTTCAGAAGCCTAGGAAGGCATTAGCTTCTCTGATACCGTGTATCCTGACATAGGAGCCTGTATCTCATTTGGAGAATTCTTTCTCCAACAGTTAAAGTATAATTGCCTGTCTCCTGAAATTGCACTTTAATCTATAGACTCTTGTACTGCTTTCTATGTACTCTGCCATTATTAATGCAGTATGTCTGCTAGCAATAAGTGTTCCTCCTTTAAGAAAATGTAACCAACAGAATATTATACATAATAAGGTAGGTTGTACATGCAATCCAGCAGTGTAGCTCCCAGCACCTCTTAGCTAGCACACTGGACGACAGTAATATTTCTGACTCGTACGCTTTTGGGGAAATATTTTTAAGGGAATCTGTGTTAGTCTTTTGCAGAAAATGCAAAGTGTCTTGTGGTGCTGACAGCCCAAAGGTGCACCAATGTAACTCTAGTCTACAGTAGCTCATATGTAACAAATACGTGTTTAAGATGTCTTTATGTGAGAAGTGTCTCTTTTTCCAAAGGATACTTCCAAGAGGTAAATGTTTCTTTGAACACTAAAAAAAATGGTGAGTTTTACTTCCTGTCACTTGTACACTTAGGATCAGCTGATAGGTAAGTTAGCTTTGAAGCTGCACTTACAAGCAGTATGTTAATTACTGAATGCACATGAGGCAGGAAATTAAGAACTATGTGGCAGAGTTTTTCTTAACTAATGCCCTTTAAGGCATTTATCAGGTGGATAGGATATATGCAGTATTTGAAGATAGAATGGAATGAGACTTTTCCCTGAAGTACAGCAACTATTTCCTGAAGGACAACTAATCCAGCTTGCTCTTAATCCTCAGTCAGTCTTGCAGTTGGACAGCTGGAATATCAAATGCATCCAAAAAGGGTTTACCATCAAACCATCCAATCGGACATTCCTTCATAGAAAGCAGTAGAAGAAAGCACTGAACCTGTTTTTATAGTCTGGGTATTACAAAGCTGCTGCCAATTCCCAGATCAAATGAATACCAGTATAATTTTAGGAATAAATCAGAATTATAATATATTCAATATCTTCTTTATTATTGCCTTAAGCATAACTATAAGGAGTTTAAAAGAGCAAAGCTGACATTAATTTCTAGTTAGGAAATTTTGGTTGTGGTTCCTTTATCTCCTACAATTTATTTAAAATTTTGTTTATTTTTAAAAGCTGTTAATTTGCCATTATACTATACTAACCTTCCCAGTTATGGAATGTGTATTAATATTTATTTCATTCTCTCTTTCTAAGGAAAAAGTGATGTTGAGCCAAAGATTCCAGAATACAGTACATCACATACATCGTAAGTCAGTTTAATATTTGTGATTAGGAATAATGGGGTATTTTTCCCTTGAAATACAGAACTCTTCGGGATTATGTCTGTTTTTAAGTTAAATTTAATATTACTTTTATTTATGCTTTCAGTGACTGACTGTTTTCAAATTGTGTCTAAGGCTTTAATAGCTCTTGATTTTTAAAGAGGCTCTGTAATGAAGAGAACATGTACCTTTTTGGGTAAGCATGGCATTATTTCATAAAAAATTGAGAGGTTTTCCATATGAGAGCAGGAGTTTGGCTCATTGGCTAAAACATATCGAGTCACATATTGCCTGTGATGTACTGATGCAATTTTAAAAGACTGCAGTCTGCAGCCTTCACCTTTGAATTAAAGAAATCCAATTATAGCTATCTATGGTCTTCCACAAATTGTTGATAATTCTAAATTAACAAGAGCAATAGAAAAATAGATCAGAAATATGCATTTTTAATAATCAAAGTTCTTTACTAATGGAACAGTGGGAGCTTTTATCTATTTTTTTAATTTAAAAAAAACTCAGCTGTTTTTTATACAAGCCTGCATGCACTCAGATAAAAAGATTCAGGTTCCATGAGGCAATCAAAGAAACCTTGGCTAAGCAAGTAAACCCAGTTTAGTTTATATGCTCATAGTTCTATATTTCAGTGCCACCTTTTTTCCTATTTGAATGTGTAGTGTTTCATGCATTAGAGCAGATGTGAGAATTTTAGTGTTCATCCTACCTGTAACTTATATCCTCTGGTTCCTCTTATTTAAATTCAGTATTGTACAATGTACTATTTGTTTCAAAGCCAAGAGCTGTCACTGCTGATGGTGAAATAAGGCTGATTTAGTGATAACAGGTCTTGATAACAGTTATCATCTATTTAAATAACCTCTTGAAACAAATCTAAAATGTTGTCGACACAGCCTAGGAAATATTTTGTCCTGCAAATTTTGCTATACAATACAATTAGTAAATAATTTTTCCCATACTTTTGTATGGCTTTAAAACCTGCTGTTTTAGAATTTTCTGTAATGGTTGCTTTAAAAAACAAAATGCATTTTATTTAAAATTTGTTTTCTAATGAATGATTAAAGAATGATGATTTTAGTACATCTGAAAGTATTATGGCAAGCTAAATGCTGGTTTTGGCTTCTATTCAGCAAAATCAGCTCAGTTTTAATGGGTGAGTTTCATCACGTTCAACCTGATGGTGTGAACAAGGGAGGAGAGAGACCAACCAGTTGTTTGTTGGACTCTTATCCATGTTGGTTACTAAATGCTGCAACAGGAAAACTAGTCAGCTGTGCGGCCAATGCTTCTTTGAGGGAGGGCTATGTCCCAGTTGCTTAAAGGTAGCTGAGGTAAGGTCATATGCTGGGTTACCTTTGATAACTCTTGATCAGTCTTCAACACTCCTTTACTAGCCAAAGTCCTAGAACAAGTGATGGTGACTCTAGGCTTCTCAGAAGAAGCTGGTTGGTACTGAATCTGCCTTGGTCGCCCTGTATGATGACCGTGCAGGGAGAGAGACAGGGGGAGTGCATCCCTGTTGGTTCTCCTGGACCTCTCAGCGGCTTTCGATACCATCGGCCATGGTATCCTTCTGGATAGGCTAAGGGGGCTGGGAGTAGGAGGCACTGTTTGGCAGTGGTTCCACTCCTACCTCGATGGCCAATTCCAGAAGGTGGTGCTGGGGGACTATGGCTCTGCGCCATGGCAGTTAGGCCATGGAGTTCCACAGGGGTCTATTTTGTCCCCCGTGCTCTTCAACATCTACATGAAACTGCTGGGAGGTCATCAGGAGGTGTGGGCTGTGGAATCATCAGTACGCTGATAATGCCCAGCTCTACCTCTCATTTTCAACCAATCCAGGTGAGACAGTGGCTGTACTGAAGCGGTGCCTGGCCGAGGTAATGGGCTGGATGAGGGCCAATAAACTGAAGCTCAATCCAGACAAGACGGAGGTCCTGTTGGTAGGTGGGCTGGGCTTCGGGATGGGAGACCTGGACCTTGTCCTGAACGGGGTTGCACTCCCTCTTAGGGACAGGGTCCGCAGCTTGGGAGTGCTCCTCGACCCGGAGCTGACTTTGGAAGCTCAAGTGTCAGTGGTGGTGAGGAGCGCTTTCTGTCAGCTTCAGCTGATCCATCAGCTGCATCCCTACCTGGAGGATGACTGCCTAGCAACAGTGACGCATGCATTGGTTACTTCCCGGTTGGATTTCTGTAACGTGCTCTACGTGGGGCTGCCCTTGAAGACAGTCCGGATACCTCAGATGGTGCAAAATAGAGCAGCCAGGTTGCTGACGAGGACTGGGCATTATTCTCATATAACCCCAGTCCTCTACCAGCTTCACTGGCTTGCCGTCTAAGTCTGGGCTCAATTCAAGGTGTTGGTAGTTACTTATAAAGCCCTTAATGGCTTGGGACCCGGATACTTGAAGGAACGCCTGCAGCCATAATTGTCCTCCCGCCCCTTGAGATCGGCAGCAGGGGCTCTCCTCCGGGAGCCTTCCGTAAGAGATATCAGGAAGCAAAGTACCTGGAGGAGGGCGTTCTCTGCGGTGGCGCCCCATCTGTGGAATGCACTCCCCAGAGAGGTCCGCCTGGCGCCAGGCCAAGACCTTTTTATTTAAACATATTTTAATAATCTTTAATCTTTATAGTTTTAATTATGCAGCCAGTGTGTTTCCAAGTTTTAATTGTAATTGTAATTTTATTTGTTTTATTTATTTGTGTTGTGAGCCATCCCGAGGCTGTGTAGCAATGGGGACAGCATATAAAAACTTTAAATAAATAAACAAATAGATCCTTTCCATTCTGGGCTTAGGCTGCATTTTGAGACTGAGTCACCCTTGAGTTCCTTGGTGGATAACATATAGCAGAAACTAGACAGGGAGAGTTTGGTGACTTTGAATACCATTGTCTATGGTAGCTATTTGGAGGGTTTGTCAGGTATGAGTCTTGGAGACACTGTGTTGCCATGGTTCGAATCTTCCCTGGCTGAACATTCTGAGAAAGTGTTGCTAGTGGACTCCTCCATAGTTCCATGGCTTCTGGCCTAGATATGTGTGAGGGATATTTGGTTGTGGAATCCAATTTTCTACCTATGCAGTGGTGCTGATTTACTGCAGCGTGTGTTGTACCAGCTTATGGACTTCTGGATCTGTAACTCAAACCACAATTTGCTTCCTTTTTTCAAACTACCAGTAGCATTTTCAAACATCAACACCAGGAAAGTATGTGTCTTTATCATGACTAGTGCTGTTTACACAAATAGCAGTAAGCCATATGGTTTTGGGGTATCATTTTGAACTAATCGTGTTCAAGAAAATTAAGTAATGGATGGAAATTCTGTTGGTGGTTTGAAGAAAATCAGCAAGTCATGGTGTCCCCACTTCACGGAAAACCTCAACTTTTCTTGTTTCCAATCACTGGATGGGGATAGAAAATCTCACAAATTCAAATAAGCCAAATTTCCTGTTTATGGTTCTTCAGGATTCTGTTTTATCTCCTTATACTGATATCTATATGAAGCCATTCAGAAAAGTCATCTGGAGTTTTGAGACTGGATTTCACCATTATGCTGATGATATCCAGTCTGCAGAAGCCCTGAACTATTGCATGAACGTAACAGCGATGAATTGGATGTGGACTGACAAGCTGGGGCTAAGTCGAGACAGGACAGGTGCAGTCTCCCTCAGTAAGGAGGCTATCTAGGGTTGAAGGTACAGAATGTTCTAGATTGGATGAGGCTGTCTCTGAAGAATCAAGATCACTGTGGGTGCTTCTGGAACCAGCATTGCTCTTGAAGAATCAGGTTGCTGTTGTGACCGAGGCTATCTCTGCCCAGCTTTAACAGGTGCACCAGCTGTACTCCTTCCTGGAGAAGGCATCTGGCCACAGTAGTCTACGTCTTAATTTCCCAGTTAGGTTATTGCAATACACTTTATCTGAGGCTGTCCTTGGAAAGAATCTGGAAAATACATTAGCTAGATTATTTTCTGGTCAGTGGTTGTTGGCTATATTATACTAGTTTACATCAGTTTGTACATCAGCTTTTCTGGCTGTTAACCATATTTTAGGGTTACATACTTTCTTCCCTTCTCCACCTTGGTGTGGCTACTCCGTTTCCTGCAGAATTCCAGCTGGTGGTGCTTGAAAGACTACCTCATCCCATAAGGACCTGCTTGTAGTTTTAAGATCATCTTTGGATGGACTGCTGTATGTGCTACCAACAAAAAAGATTAGGTTGGTGTAAACATAAGATAGAACTTCCTTTATGGAATTTCCCACTGTGGATCTCCCTCTTAAAAGAAGTTAGGTTAGCCCTTGTTCAGATTTGGTAGGCCTAGTACATGTTTTGTGGGGTCGGGTTTTGGTTTGGTATTTGGCCACATGTGTATTTTTAGTATTTTTGGATATAATCCAATGAAATCCAACAACTCCCATTATTATCCAGCTAGCTCTCTGACTGGGGGCTGCTAGGTGTTGGAGGACCTTTTCTGTCTGTACATGCATAGTTTTGCACTTTACTGTCTTAGCTTCGCGCTTAGTTTTTAAGATTCTCTCCTACTCTTAATTATACTGTTGGTAATGGTTTAAAGTTTGAAATCTATTTTTAAAGTTTTGAAATTGTCACAAAGCTTTAAAATGTTCCATTTTAAATTGTTTTAAGTTTTAATTATATGTTGCTTTGGAGACCCTGGTTGGAGCAAATTGTTGCTTATAAATGTATACATAAATAGTACTTAAGGTGGATTTAGACAATAATATAGGCAATATTTACTAATTTTTTGTATTATTGCAGTACTGATAAGCCCACCAGTATTTTAACAGCACACATTTTAAGGTTGCTGGAGCTAGGATGCAATTGAAACATTCTATCTATAGCAACAGAAAGACTGCTTTCAGATGCTCTTGAGAAAAGATTGTAGTTTGGTTAGTGTGTTCTGCAGTAGTATTGTTAAATACACTGTAAGTAGAGCGTTGTCAAGAGTTT